GCTGACAATCCTAATTTTAACCCTCATTCCACACTATTACAAACTGGGGGCACTGTCCTCTTTGCAGTTTAAAGACTAATAAAAGATGACATGGGCTTAATTAGGATAGGAGATAACAATTTTCTTCCAGTTCTGATAAATCCAAATCCACCCTAGCCTGCAGTGAAGATCATTAGTGTCAAAACAGCCAGAGAACTTTAACTGTTTATAGTAGCTTGAATAATTTCAGATGCTATATGCTGTTTGGGGGTATGTTTCTCCTTCTCATTTTCCAAAAGGCAGATGTTCAGCATTATGTGGTTTCTCCAGAAGGGCAATGTGCATGCTTAATGTCTGTAAGGCCGCTTCAGATTGTTTTCTATACTTGTTACAAACTCTTCCTTAGAGCCTCGCCCAGTATACCCAAACCTTCTATTTCATCTGTAATTGGCCTCACATCTCTGTATTGTAACATAAGGAAAACATAAGCAAATATAAATAATCTCTGTTAACATGAAAAACAGATGATGACAGTGGGTGGAAACAGATGACCGGTTACAAGGCAGCAACCCTTTCATGGCACCATTTATAGTTACCATATGATGGCAAGGATCATTTTAATAAGATCTATATATACTCAGAAATCTGAACGATCATTAATATAAAATTGTCCAATACTGCAAAGGACCCGCTCCATAAATTGCTGTATTATCATTAATAGAATTAGCCACTTGGTAAGCAGTCAGCTGTATTTACTTGTTTTATCAATAAAATATTGGTACCTTCATCTTATAGTCATCTCTATGGAATCGGAACGCAATATCCAGTAGAGTTTTGTGAAAGAATCCTGTTGGGCGTAATACCAGAACTAGCTGCAAGTTTCCTGGAAATGATGCCTGCAAAACCATTAAAATTACCTCATATTTAGAAACGTTTATTTAGTGAATTCATTAGAAATCTATAGCATTCCAGAATGTTTCATATTAAGAATTTAAGAAATATTCAGATAGGCTTAATACTGGCCCAGCATTACAGCACTATGTCTATTGGGACCACCTGGCTAAATTTTCAAATGGCAGAATGGAGTGTTCCTGCCTCCCCTCCTACAAGACCAGAGAGTAGCAAATGTTACACTAATTTTTATAGAAGGGTTCAGAGAGGCACGAAAAAACTGCAGACCAGTTAGCCTACATTTGTCCCAAGCAAATTAGTAGAAACTGTCATCTTACTTTTCAGAGCTCCTATGATCAGACGTTCTTGAGTAATGAGTAAAAGAATGATACATTATTTACTAAAGGAAAATATAACAAAGTCTGAATCTAGTGGCACCTTTATGACCAAAGAAGTTCTCCAACAAACTTAATCTTCTCTGTATAGGGCAAACAGGCCAAACCCTACACCAAAGGACTAATGGACACAACTCTGACATTAAGAATGACAAAACTGAGAAATCTGTAGGAGAATATTTCAACTTCCCAGGGCACACAGAGATATTGGGTTCTTATCTCACTACACATGCTAAGTCACTCATTTCTCACTTATACCCAGGATTAAACTTTATTAAAGGTGCCACTGGGCTCAAATTTTGTTTTGTTGCTTCAGACCAACATGGCTACCTACCTGAATCTAAAGGAAAATATGTTAGACAGAAATTTGGTGACCAAGTAGGTTGTGTTCGGGTCACTGTCTAGCATCAGACAGGGAATATTATCACCTTGAAGTTTATTAAATGAAGAGCATGTTAAAAGCGGTGAGATCCAACAGTTCCTTAAAGCGTTAAAAAACCAACATTCCAATGTGAGATACAGTTTTAATTTTAACCTGATTGCAAGGGCAGAGACGATATGAATATGGATACGACAAAAATTGCCCTGTAATACTTCGAAGGGGACGGCATTAAGTTGAACTAAAGCAAATGCCCTAACCGGGGTGGTGGTGGTGGTGGTGGTGGTTGTTGTTAGGTATCTCATGTAGAATGGCACAGTCCAAGGCATTAATATGCCAATAAATTGACTTGAGCAGACTCTGCGAGAGCGAATCACTATACTGTCATAATCTACTCTGTAAGGCGATGCTGGACAAGTGAAAGGGCCTTTGCCTCTAGCAAGAAGATATCTTCAGTTATAAGCCCCAGCTGCCTTAATCTAGCATCTACTGTCTTCATTCATTGAGAATGGTAAGCATCTCATTTAAGAAAGAACAGCAGACCTTCAGTTTACAAAGCAAAAATAATCCTTAGATTTAGCTTGAAAGAGCTGAGCCATGCTCTAGCTTCCAATGACCTCTGGCCTAGTTCAGCTCTGAGAAACTGTCATCAAAGACAAAATTAGGCACCCAGAGGAACAAAGCCTGAGACAGAAATATCTGCTAGGGCACCATTAACGTGTTTGTTCAGTTTCTCTAAGAACTCCAAAAGACTGGTGAGGCAGGACTTCTGCAAAGGGAAGTGCTGCCTTACCAACCTTTTGGAGTTCTTTGAAAAACTAAACAAGCATAGAGATAATGGTGACCAGGAAGATACTATATACTTATGGGTTAAAAATTGGTTAAATTACAAAATGTATAGGAATAACTGGACAATTTTCACAATGGAGGGAAGTAAGCAGAGGGCCAGACAAGGATCATGAAAAGTACTGGGTTCGACACATGGAGAACTTGGACCACGGCATGCATTCAGACATACTTCACAACAAGAGATACAAACCGGCTCAGCAAGGCCTACTATATACACTCCAGCCGGCACACCTCTGTCCCCATTGGAGGGTTTGAATCTCCCACCAAGGGTGCTATTGGTGGACTCCCGGACTAGGATCCTAGGTCCCCTTTGTGTTTGGGGACCAAGCTCCTGCTCTAGCTGTGGACCCCTGATGGCAGCCCATGTACATAACACCATTACTGGGACTAGTGCTATTTAACTTGTTCATAAATGATCTGGAACTGGGGGTGAGTAGTGCAATGGCCAGATCTGCAGATGACACCAAATTATTCAGAATAGTGAAAACCAAAGCTGACTGTGAAGTGCTCAAGGAGGATCGCCATAATTTGGGTAAGTGGGCGAAAATATGGCAAATGAAGTTCAGTGTAGGTAAGTCTAAGGTAATGTACACTGCAACAAAAAATCCCATGTTTAACTATATGCTAATGGATACTTAATGTGCTGAGACTGAGAAGGGGTCATAATAGACAGCTCAATGAAAATGTCAAGCCCGCGTGTTGCAGGAGTGAAAAAGACAAGGTGTATGTTGGAATTATTAAGGAAAAGGACTGAAAATAAAACAACCAATATTATAATCCCACTGTTTCAACCTATGATGTAGTATGCTGTCTTGTCTGGCTGCCACAGAGACCACACACTGGAAGCTTGTAAACACAGTCCAGAATCAAGGTCACACAGAGCCGAAAGTCAAAGAGCCAGAAAGTCAATTCAAGGTTACAAGGACAAGGAGCGGCTGCTACACACACACAGGGGCAGGTCTGAGTAAACAAAGTTGCTGCCACATTGAACCAGGTGCACTGAGTGCTTTTGAGCAGGTCCTTCCTTCCCTGGGGTTGAGTCTGCAAAGGCTTACAGCTCTTCCCTCTGCCTCTGCAGGAGCTGGAGTCTGGCACTTCTTCACTCCTGCATAGTCAGCCTCTGGCGTGCCCTACGTCTGGGGAACTCAGGAGAACTAGGCAAGGAGTCTGGCCTCGGGGTGTCTGCAACTGGGGGTGCTGGGCCAGGCTCAGGATCGGCCTCTTCTTCTAGCTGCACCTCTTGTGCAGCTGCTGGGGGCTCTTCCTCCTCAGGTATAGTTGAGGGTTCTTCTTCTGGGCTGACTCCAGAGGAGGCTGGGCTGCTCCCTGACTCTTCCTCATCTGAGGAGTAGTCAGCCTCAGCAGACCTAGTACCCACAACATGTGGCCTCATTTGGAATACTGTGTGCAGTTCTGGTCACATTGCACAGCTAGAAAATGTACAGAAGAGGGTAACCAAGAAAATTAAGGGGTTAGGGCACTTTTCCTATTAGGAAAGGCTGAAGAGTCCAGGAGTTTTCATTTTAGAAGAGAGATGACTAAGGGGACGATGACATGATAGAGGTTTATAAAATTACACACAGAGTACAGAGTGAACAGAGAGAACTTTTACTCCAACTCAAGGGCATCCAATGAAGTTGACGGGTGTAGATTCAGGACAAACAAAAGGAAATACTTCTTTACATAGAGAGTAATTAAAATGTCTGAGATGCTAGCTGGAGGGTCACTCCAAAGAGTCAGTGGTGTCCAGCTGACTCTGTAAAGAGCCTTGAGGTGTGGTTGGATTCTGTGCTATCATTGGATAAGCAAGTGTCCATGGTAGCATGGTTGGCAATTTTTCACCTACACCAGGCCTACCGCTGGCTCCTTATTTGTCTGGGTCAGACCTTCCCACATTGATCCATGCAACAGTCACCTCCAGACTAGACTACTGCAATACGCTCTACATAGGGCTACCCTTGAAAATGCTTCGGAGACTGCAGGTGGTCCAGAATGCAGCTGCCAGTTTGCTGACTGGAACATCATGGTCAGCTCATACTACTCCAATTCTACAGCAGCTGCACTGGCTACCAATTAGTCTTGGGATCCCATTCAAGGTGTTGGTGCTAACCTTAAGCCCTTAACAGCCTGGGACCCTCTTACTTACGGGGCTGCCTCTCCCATTACAACCCCCCCACTCCCTCTGGTCATCCTCTAGAGGCCTCTTGCAGGTGCCTGGCCCCAGGACGGCTCAGTTAGCTGTCACCAGGGGAAAGGACTTTTCAGTTGTGGCCCCTACCCTGTGGAATGCACTCTTGGATGACACTCGTGCCCTGCTGGACTTGTTTAGTTTCTGCAGGGTATGCAAGGCCGAATTGTTTCAGTTGGCCTTTGGAGGGTAACCACATGTTTGGGCTGTTTTTGTTAGTGGTATACTGACAGTCACATATTTTAATAGTTTAACAGTTTAATGTTAATATTTTATATTTGTTCATTGTTTTATGTTTTTACTTTATTGGATTTAATGTTGTAAGTTGCTGCAAGACCCTTTGGGTGAGCGGCGAATAAAAAACCCTTATAATAAATAAGTAAACAAGTGATTAAAAAAAAAACAACTATCTCCCTTCCCAGCACTAGACATTGGAAGGCAAAAGGCTGGAGGGGGAGAGCTGGAAATTATATGCGGCCAGCAGCAGAATGTATAACAACAAGTGTAAGTAGTTCCTCCAGGTATTATAACTTGAGCCAACAGTATGCAAAGTGACATTAGGAACAGCTGCCAATTTGCCTGAATAAAATAAAATTGTATTCAGGCTAGTTCATGGAAACAGCAAGGGGAAAGGTTGTTTTTCTTCTTCTGCTCTGCCTTAAAAAAAAAAAAGATATACACTTAAACACAGAGACAGCTTTTACACTGGATGCTATCCTTGGACCTTTGAAATTCCATCCAGAACTTCTAGGTTTAGCTCAGACTGCCTAATAACTATCTCTAATGGTAGAAGGTGTGTTTTAATGGCTCAGAACACAGAAAATCACCCTTAAGTAAAGGCTCCAAGAAGGCCTAGTACTGTGTAATGTATACCAACCAGTACAGGTAAAATATTTATATGCAATCACATTGCTTCCTTTATAGCCTGTATTTATGCCAAACCAAGTCAGGCCCTTTACTGCTCTTCTGTGATGCTGGCCAACTTCTTTAACATCTGTCATGCCTGAAATGGAAACAATATTCCAGCTGAGGCTCGAATAAGAAAGTGTGAAGTAGAAAACCACTATGCGATGCCTAAATCAGATTGCTATTTACTTTTAAAAATGGCACAGCATTAGATATATGACTCATTATTATCGTTATTTATTTTATTTATTTACTTAATGTATACCTTGGCTTTCTCCCCGTTGTTCTCCTCCCCTCCATTTTATCCTTACAAAAGCTTTGCGAGGTTGGGTAGGATGAGAGTGTATGACTGGCCCAAGGTTAGCCTCCAAGCGTCCATGGAAGACTGGGGATTCAAACCAGGGTCTGTCAGATCCTAGTCAACACTCTACTGGCTCAGTTCAGACATCTTGTTCCTGATTCAGCAAACCACGGTTTGGAGGTAAGGACCATTCTGCACTTCCCTCCTTGCTCCTGTCTCAAATACTGGTTCCCTTTCCTGGTTTCTTAGCTTTCTGTGACATCTGATTCAAGCAAGATATGGTTACTGTAACCAGCAATTTCATCCAAACCATAATTTCAAGCCATGTGGTTGGATCCAACAACTCCCTTCTACAAAGCAAACCTTGCTCTGGCAAAAGGTAATCCTTTCATTTAGCAGAAGGGAATTGTTGGGTGCAACCATTCAGAGGCAATCCTGACGCCAAGACAACTATTCTTATTGCAGGGTGCATTAAGGGTGAGCAAGGAGTGGGTGGGAAACACTGGAGACCATGTTGCCAGTCTCCCAAACTGTGGTTTGGATTATGATCCTCAATCAGTACTGCTTCACATTTCAGTGGCACTCCTCCTAAATGAACACACACATTATTTTCCTCAGTCTACCAGCAGATAACAATCCAGTGTTATTTCACTAACCCTAATTTTCTTGTATCATAATAAAACTAGACCTAGAGCTCAGGATTTATTTTACTGCTTATAATCGGAATATTCTGAATTAACATGCTCTCTGAACAGAGGTTACCAAAAACTTCCCCATTTTCTACAATAAAGAGTTAGCAATTCTGTTGTGGAAAAGAAAGGAAAAAAGAGACTTGTTGTTTCTAAAACAGAGGAAGCCCGAGGTGGAGGGAATTCAATCGCTGCCGAAGTGACGAGGGATTTTATGTTGACTCTTAATGCCTTCCAGGTATTAAAAAAAAGAAATTACATAGGCTTATACATACAAGCTGGCTGCAGTTTTGCATGTATTACTAAATAATGATAAAGAACCTAAAAACAAGGCAGAAAAGAAAACAAGGAACAAAAGGTAAAAAAAATGACCATCGTACTGTATGAGCACAAACATCCTCCTCTCTTTCTTTTGCATTGTTAGAGAAAACTAAAGCTTCCGATTTGCTGCTTATGTTGATATAAAATGAATCTTTACTGGTATAATTAGTTTTGCATTATTCAGTATAATCAGAAAGTATGCAAACTATCCTGTAGTAATAAACATACTCTAACATGTAACCATAGCAAGCATTTTGAAAGTTTTCTTCTAAAATGTCACTTATGTTTCAAAACCTAGACCAGCTAATTTGCCTTTTACTGAAATGCACTGTTAGAAGCAAGTGTTTCTTATCGGTTTAAGAAACTGAAAAAGTAAATACCCATGGTGGTATGATTTGAAGCCCAGGTTTACAAAACCAACACAATCCTTGAAGGTAAGGTTCACTTGCACTCATTGATAATGCAGCAGTTTCTACAAACTTCAGATTTTTTAAAAATGCAAACTTTATTATTATGGATTACTACTGCTTCAATTATGTGTATGATACTATGCATAATATGAACAACTCTAGCATATTCTAACAGGTACTGTTAAATTAGAATTAGAATGAATGATTATGTAAAAGGGGTTTTTTAAAACATAAAATGGGAACATCCAAGCTTCTCAGAAAATAGATTGTTTTCTGTTCTTAATACAATTTATATGCTGAACAGGAAGGTTTGTCAAGGGAGTCAAAAAGCCTTAATTGCATAACAGCTCACCGCAATTCGTAGTATAGAGGCTTGCACTGAGGTCCATTTGTCTTGCCTGCGGTCTATGACAAGTATAAATCCAATTCCAGCATCCTGTGCACTGGGGGGCGGGGGGGGGGGAGAAACGGAGACAGTTATGGAAAATTATACAATTGGTTCCAAAACTCAAGTAGTATTATTCCAGTGAGCAAAGATCCTTTTAAGTCATTAAGTATGCCAATAAGATGAAATATGTGCTCTGATAAAGAATTCCAACTTCAGATAATCAAAACATCCACTGCCACTCTCCACAGGCAACCAGGTTTTATGAATCAGATATACAAATATGCTTCCACTTCAGTTTTTCAGGATTTCTGTTGCTGCTTTTTCTGATACAATTATAATCCATCCTTTATATCAGGGGGTAATAATATCCGTTTCAGAATGAAAAACATTTCCCTTTCTTCTTCATTTAACCTTTTCTTACTGACACACCAGTTTTATCTCATCAATATTTTTTTAATTCCCTGAAACGCAAGCTCTTAGGATTCTGGTTCCATGCATCACTGAGATTGCTCTGGTCTTCTGCATTTTCAAGAACTGCTTTTCCAAGGTCTGCATAAATCAAGGCAGGAATCCCATAAGTCGTACATACGGCAGAGGTGAAGGAAAAGATGGTTTTACTGAAATGGAAATCTGTGAAAGCACCCTAACTGGATCTTTGTTCCCTTGCTCTGTTCAGCTGTGTGTGCTACAACCGCAGAGTACAAATAAAGAGATCTGTTCCTATGTTATAATTTCGCATACAAACCAATTGTGTAATGCCAGCAGCTGACTGCTAGCCAATTGCAATGTAATGGAAGTGACAGGCAAGCATGGTCCAGAATGACTGGAATCTCTAACTGTTTCTGAGTATATTTAAACAGATTGTCAATTTTGTTCTAATATTGTGGCCAATCTAATGGATTATTCAACCGCCAAAAGGAACACGCGTTGTGCACAACCACTGTGTAAAGAATTCTGCCGGATTGTACTGGCACACAGATGTTTTCTTTTTTTTTGCTTAAGGTATTTCATAAGGTGACTAAGGATTTTTATGTTGTTGCTGTATTAATTATTATGAAAATGCTATCTTCACCTCTGGCTTTTAAAACAGCAAACAGCTCGTCTGTAATATCTGGATTATTTAAATTCAAATCTATTAAGACACATACCTCTTCCCTCCATAATAATAACTTAGACTAATGATCAGAGGCATTAATTTCTTCAGTTATTTATGTAGGAATTAATAATCAAAATCCAGCATTAACAGCCCAGCCAGAGTATAAAAACACTGAGCAGCTTAAAATGATTTTAACAGTGTCCCTCCATCTACTTTCCAGTAGATGTCCGAGTAGCATCTTGGTCTAAATAAATAAATAAATGATTACAATGTTCAGCCCACTATCTGTACCCAAGTTCTCTGGAGGAAGACTTAGTTTAAAATGTTCACTACTAGCAGAGATGGGACTACAAGAAAAAAACACATGGGAAAGAGGACCTCCCCCCCCCCCAAACAGAGGGCAGGAGAGAGAAATATCCAGCCCCATGCTTCCTTCTCCACCTGGTGCTGGGCTCAGCCAAACAGTGTGTGTCCTTGCCTGTTCAGCATGGGGTGAGGGCTGCCAGCTTGCTGCAGCTGCTGCCTGCCCTACACAGGGCAAGGAAAGCCCCTTGTTTGGGCCAGGGTTGCCCAATGGGAGGGCAGTCCCCCAAAGCCATTATCCCCTCAGGAATTTCCTCACTGGCCTCTAGTGGCTGATTTGCCTCAAGTGGTTAAGACGCTGAACTGCAGACTGGAAGGTCGGTAGTTCAGCAGTTCGAGACCCGAGTACCACATGATGGAGTGAGCTCCCAACTCTGGTCCCAGCTCCTGCCAACCTAGCAGTTTGAAAGCAACAAATTGCAAGTAGATAAATAGGTACCACTTCAGTGGGAAGGTAACAGTGTTCCGTGCACCTTGGTGTTTAGTCACACCAGCCACATGACCACGGAGAAGTCTTCGAACAGCACTGGCTCTTTGGCTTGGAAACGGAGATGAGCACTGCATCCCTAGAGTCGAATTCGACTGGCTTTCGAACAAGGAAAACCTTTACCTTACTAGAAACAAGAGCATAAGATACAATCAGAATTCTAGACAGCAACCTGAATGCTATATTGAGTACAATATAGAAAGGGAGAGGGGCAAAACGACAGTTTTGACTATTGTTCACTAGAATTTAACATTAAGGTTTTTAAAATGCTTATGTCATAACCATTCATGGAGAATGCCAATCAACAGCCATGACAGCTGAGAGAAGCCTTCATTTTCAAAAGCAGTTCATGTCCGTAAGCAAGGAAGGCTACTGGTTTTCTTACAGACTCTCCAGATGTATCTGGTTGACCACTATGAGAAACTTGGTCTGACTGAGTGAGATTGTGAAGGTAAAGGTTTTCCTTTGTTCGAAAGCCAGTCGAATCCGACTCTAGGGGGCGGTGCTCATCTCCGTTTCCAAGCCGAAGAGCCAGCGCTGTCTGAAAACGTTTCCATGGTCATGTGACCAGCATGACTAGACACCGAGGCGCACGGAACGCTGTTACCTTCCCACCAAAGCGGTATCTATGTATCTACTTGCAGTTTCTTGCTTTCGAACGGCTAGGTTAGCAGGAGCTGGGTCCAGAGACAGGAGCTCACTCCATCACGCGGCACTCAGGTCTCGAACTGCTGAACTACCAACCTTCCGGTCTGCAGTTCAGCATCTTAACCACTTCAGCCACCGCAACAGGTTAAAAGGTACGGAGTGTATTCTGTGTTTAGGAGACGGGCTGTGGTTCCGTGGTAGAGCATCTGCTTGGTACACAGAAGGTCCCAGGTTCATTCCTCATGTCTCTAATTAAAAGGATTACTCTTATATTATTATGTCACAATATAAAAGCCATCACATTATCTAAAATTCCAGATCCATCTTCCATAGATTAGGAGTGAGCTATGACTGTCAGATGACTACGGCTATAAGAGCATAATCTTGCTTAACAGCCTAAAAATGAAAATGCTGGAAATAGCTGTTTGTTATTTACCGCTAACACCAGGCAATTGGGGCATACAGTATGAATAACACCTAGTGATAGAACGGCAATCTATGATGGGTTGGATCAGTGACCTGCAAACTCAAGTATCATGGATATTTCCTGTGTTCTCCTGCACCTACTCATTCCTTTTTGAACCCAGGGAAGTTTCTTTCCGGTGTCACATAACCCTTGTGGATGAGTAGCCATGCCAAGTCAGGTGACTCCAGTGACGAGTGGCTGAAATTGTGCCATTCTTTCTCTCCATCAGCAGTGCTGCACTGATAGAAGAGGCAGGAAAGGTGATTTATGAACTTCCTGATCCTCACTGCAGCCTCCTAAACCATGAGGCTATTAGTCCACACAGGCCCCGTGACTCTAGGAATAAACTTTCCCAGGATTGTTAAGGACTGCTGGGGAGGGGGGGGGACAATAGGAATGATCTGCAGTACTCATTGCCTTCAATACACAGATCACTGGATCCAACTCAATATTTTAAAAAACTGTTTAAGCTAGCAGCCATCACCATAACGCACAGCAGTTCACATAATCAGGGGCAGACTGGTCATTTAACTTGCAGGGAAATTTCCTGGTAGGCTACTCACCTAGAGGGTCTCTGGTGGCCAGGTATAAGCACAGCAAAGACCTAGCAACTCTGCCACTGCCTCTGGGGCTAATCAATGTCATCTTGCCCACTGTCTCCTGTACCGTTTTCAATTCGAAAGACGAAGCAATATATGAGCTAATGCTGGAACTGCTCTGAGTAGCCCCTACAGTCCTGGTTTGTAGTACCACAACAACCTCTCAGCTTGGCTTGTTCCACGGTCATTTTCATTTCCTAGTCTACTCTTATCCATAATGTAAGTATGCATCAGGTTAAAAGATACAGGGTGTATTCTGTGTTTAGGGGACGAGCTGTGGTTCAGTGGCAGAGCATCTGCTTGGTACAAAGAAGGTCCCAGGTTCATTCCTCAGTGTCTCTAATTAAAAGGATCCAGCAACAGGTGCCTAAGACCATGGAGAACTGCTGCCAATCTGAGTAGACAATACTGACCTTGATCAATCAATGGTCAGATAAGGCGACTTCATGTGTTCTTGTTAAACCAGATTCTGAAGCACCATTTCACTATTCCTAAGGCATGATCTTTGTTCTGTTAAATGCTAAAAGCTACACTTCTCTTATCTTTTCAGTTATAGGAGTACAGAACTCCAATGCCTGCACTATTGTGGCACTGAGGAACTAGCCCTCTATATCATTGAAGCACTGCCTAGTAGTGTTACTAATATAATGGGCTAATCCAGCCTTGCATTTATGAAACAATACTCACCCCATGAACCTGAACAGGTTGTTGCACCCAAGGAACATTTTAGCTGTACGTGGTATGTTCCGGTACAGAGCTTACGGCTAAAAAGCATTCATACATATGACTCTGCGGCAGGTTGCTAGGGAACCAGGATGCTGATGTTTATGTCATCCAATAGCGTGAACCCTTTCTAAACCACCTTTTAGTGCAGTTTGAGATATTGATAGTAGCAGCTTTAAATACTTTAAAGACATATTGTTTCAATGGGGGAAAAAGAAAACACTTGACTGGAATTTCCATGATATTGTGAGATCAGCTAAACCATGAAAAATAACAATTTGTAAGCAAGTCACTGTGCAGAAGTCGAAGGAAACGCATCTTCCAAATATCTAGAATGGGCATCTTTGCAAAGGCTGTTTGGAATATGTTCTGTGGACTCCTCCTATCAAGTTATCAAGTTACATTGAGTACATGGACTTTATGTTTTATCTTCAAAGGAGGAAATATTGTATCTTATGCCTTATTATAGTTACAGTATGCATAAATGTTGTTGTTGTGACACCACCAACTTTAAAATTGTTTAATATATTGTTTTGGCGATCTTTGATGGTGTTTTCTACTAGTGGAATTTGCATATTTGGGAGTCCTGTGACACTTCCCCCTGTTGTTTGGATTTAGTGCAGTTCTTTTGGGCCCCACTTCCAGAAACGGTAGCTATAATTTTCTCACAATG